AATAAAATATCCTCCTGAGAACCAGAAAAAAAATAGTTTTGTGATTTTTTTTTATGTCATCACATTGGTTGGAGCATAAGAAACAAATGGAGAAAAACATTTTTAAAAAAAATATATTTTATTCTATGTCCTTTGTAGAGGACGCCAGGACTAAGTTATTAAAAAATAATAATAAATAAATAGACATGAAAAGGCATGTATAGGCAAAAACAATGTTTTATATTTATATATATTTTTTTTTTTCATTCACCAATCACTTTTTAGGTTTCAGGCTATTTTTAGCCAAACTTTGTACAAAGATGATTCTCAACAATGTTATGAAAGATATAACAGAATGATTTGATATACTATTTTACTTTATGCAATATGTGCGTAAAATGTCCATAAATTGGTATTCCCATTCTATACAATGTATCAATTAATGGTATCTAATTTGCATATGAATGTGTTCTTGGGGCAAACCATAATGAAAAAAGAAGTGTAATAATGGGAGTATAAACTTGGCAACATTTTCATAAGAATATCTCATATTTCATAGGAATATTGATCTATAATGTCTTTCCCTATTGACTTGTTGTGTTTCCCCAAAACGCCTGATAAACATGATGTTTGTCCTGGTGTCCTCTACAGAAGACATGCATGAAAATTATGCACTGTATCAAAAAGTCATATTCCGATTTGAAACCCCATAACATTTTTCTGAGATGTTTATTTAAGACAATTTTCAAAATTAGCCAGATTTAAGTGATAATTACAAAACATTATCATATTTCCCCAAGAGTGCTAAATTTGATCATTCTGTCAATATCAGTCATATTTAAAGACCAAGGAGAGGGAGTGATTATGATCAAACCTCCAAACATTTGATATCTGTGAAAAGCCCTGAATGTGCTCCGTACAGGACATCCAGACTAAAACTGTGGCATTTATGCTCTCAGAGAAATTCACTAAAATATAATGTCCTCTACAGAGGACAAAAGTCTATGCCTGGGTCCCAGGGATATGATATAATATAATATAATATTTAAAATAAGAGACAGAAATCGAATCATTAGTCAACCGATTGGTTCAGAACACTGATTCATTCAGCGTCAAAGCCAGCCCAGTGTTGCCAATTTAGCAATTTTGTTGCTAGATTTAGCAACTTTTCAGACTACCCTAGCAACTTTTTCTTCCAAAAGCACCTAGCAACAAATGTAGCTATTTTTTTTTAAATGTATTTGGCAACTAAATTAACATTTTTTTTTTTTTTTTTTTTTGCTGAGATTTGATGCAGTGACACAATTTTGCATCGTGATTACGCAATGACGTCACCGCGCAATGACATCGCGTCATTTAGCAACTTTTAGCAACAAATCAATCTCCCTTTAGCAACTTCCTCTGAAAATTAGTTGGCAACACTGAGCCAGCCACTCCTGTGTTGTTTGTTTGGGGACACTACGGTTGATTCTGGTCGTAGTTAGAATCTTTGTCAGAGCAAAAATAGACAATGTAGCTGGGAATATTGTGTCTAAAAGGTAAGAATTTTAAATTCTTGTTTATCAAACTCAGAAGATTGTGAAAATAACTGCTAAGGTAAACCGTATTAGGTGAAAATGTTTTTGGAGTATATCTTCAATTATTTACCTTTATTATATTATCACGATGTACTTTGAGTTGGAAGTCTGACAGTCTTTGAAATGTCGATCTTTATGTTTCTAGAAAAATCACACAAACATATGAGGCAGTCAATGCATTAGCCATCCCTGTTGAAAAAAACAGCATATGCTGGTTAGGTATGTTTTGACGCTGGGATGCTGGTGTAAGCTGGGCCTTTGCTGGTTTAAGTTGGTCCTTTGCCAACACATGACCAGCATAAACCAGCAAAAGGACCAGCATAAACCAGCATCCCAGCGTCAAAACATACCTAACCAGCTGTTTTTTTCAACAGAGATATTCCTTTACCAAAGCTATGTGAAAAAATATTACACAAAACTCATCACGCATGTTCTGTTTTCTAGAACAGATTTACAGTTATACATGGTTTAACAAATTAAAGATAGTTTACACACATAGTAGCCTCCATGTAGTTAGGCCTAGACACGAAGGTGCCAATTACAGAACAAATGAAAAAGGAGACATTTGACATATCACAAACTGTATTTATCAAGGAATTAACTGTACAGAGTCAGTCAGGATCTGAATTATACAGCATTCATTCATTCACTGTTTCCATGTGTATTGGTGTCACCCTTGAACAGTGGCTGTGAGTGAGAATGAGAGTGGTTTCATCATGCACAGCAGTACCATTACAGGGACAATGTTATTCATGCAACCTGAATTGCCCAGTTTCCTTTCGATTCCTTTCCTTTGAGCTTTGGAGAAATAACCCCACGGATATTCAAAACTGATGTTAAAAATGTTCTTATTTCACAGTAGAAAAAAAAGAGCATTTTTGTTTGTACAGAAGCAATTACAGTTTGTACAGGTCATCGAGCTGCTGAGCTAAAACCAGTGGTGCTTAAGGGTCTGACACTATAGACGTGACATGGGGAGTGAGTTTCAGTCATACCCAAACATTTAAAGCAGATAAATCTGCCATAAAACCCGCTTAACGTGTGATACTGTATATATAAAAGTAATTGAACAACTTTTAAGACTATACAGTAGATAGCACAAGAACCTCGAAAAACATTAGAGCAGTAGCTGAAGTAGACGAGGCTATTAAACCATAAAACTATGTATTTACTGTTGGGGTTGTGCTTTCTGTTGATTCAATGGATCAGATCCATCATGGATTTAATAACATTTTATAAATGTTTCCAAATGCTTCCAGTTACAACAAATTGTACGCCTCAGCAGTTTCATGTCCATTAACTTGTATGTGATGGAAGCAGCAGCTATAAATGTGTGTATGCAGATGTATGAATGAGAGTGTGAGCCGGGGGTTTTTCAAACATTTCTTCAAACAATTAGCTGAATGAATGCATTGTTTTATAGTACTGCTAGCTGATCACAAAACGCAGCAACTTGTCCCAGACCCTCAAGCACCAATCCTCTGCTCACAATAGCACTGTGCAATGGGGCAGTAATTTAGTGCAAAGGAAAAGTTGCATAAATTTTTACTTGCAAGTGTATACATTTTTTTTCCGTTCACCATCACCTTGGATACTTTTACTGCGTACCCTCTGTCTGTATAAGTTATTCTATTGCATAAAAATAAGATTTTTCGTACCAAAAAGTAGACTCGGAGACAAAACCAAGGGCATCAAAGGAAGAGAAATTCAGACCCAGACACAGAAAGCTCTTTTGATATATACTGTATACAATGCTTTGAGAGTGTATAGAGAAATAAGAGCTGACAATTGTATATTTAAAAGCAGGGACATTACAAAAGCATTTGCATGATGCTCTGTTCAGATAAAGGAACAATCATGAGCTTGCAGAGAGAAAACGACTTGTTGATTGAAAAAAATGTACATGAACATCATCTCCTCCCTCTCAATGACTGGTTTACATTTTTCTTTACAGAAAGAGGACCATTGCTTCTAACATTATTAAGACTTTTTTTTTTACATTTAAAGACGACGGAGGACTACAGCTGACAGACTTTGGGACAATGAGGCACAAATATAATACCTGAAACCATTACGTTTCCGTTCAACACACACACTTTGACATTTACTTTCAACCCTGTATGTTGCATGAAAAATCGCATGTCATTATGTAGTCAGCTCATTTTCAACTGCAGTGTGTGTATGTATATTATGGATGGATCTCAAAAGAACCAAATTGGATTTGTGTCATCATTTGCAGAGCTGTCTAAAGCATGTACCGCTTTTCTTGCAATATACCTTGCATTTTTGCTAGCTATGGGCTTTCTATACTATTACCTGCAGAACTACACAATTCAAAGACGTATTTAACCCCGTTTCTGCCAATCAGGAGAAACAGTCACATAATAACATCTACATGGCTTCCAACTGCCATCTTACAAACGCACATTACCAGTTAAATCAAACGCCTGCATCCATTCAGCCCTCAGTGCAATGTTTGGAAATAATGTTGGGAGAAAGTGACAAAAGGCTAAAGCAAAAGTTTTACAAAACAATCAGTTCTGTGCTTGGAAGACTTTTGAGGATAAATAAATTGTAAACCCAATCTCACGTTCAGAATAGCTTGATGACGAATGCAATGCATACATGCATAGACACATACACACAACTGATTTGGTAATCTGTCATTAAAAGAGCAAATGAACTCACACGCGACATTTAATGCATAATATGAAATTAATGGTTGAGACTTTCCTGCACATTGGGAAAACTCATGTACGAAACCAACAAACCCTAGTAATCAAATCTGACAAAACACACTCACAGCAGGTGAGCTGCTTCCCTTTATTTGAAACAGACCGTTTATTTCTTCATTTGAAAGTTAAACCTTGTAGGCATGCTCTGATATGTCATATGCCATTCAAACATGTGGTCTACAAAGTGGCAAGACGAGAATCAAAATCGTGTGGAAGAGCCAATGAATACAAATCAACACGTTAACAGTATAAAAGAGCAAAACAACTTACAAAATAAACAGACAAATCATGCTCTTCAGAAAAAGACTAACCTCGAGAAAGATTTTGGCATATTTCCATTTTCTTCAGCGCGAGATTGTATAGAACTGATGTTGAGACGTACAATATACAAAGAGAGAGACGGGTACACATACATATGGGTCATCTTTTTCATAGACTGATTAGAAAATAATCTTCGTGAGCTACTTTACTATAACATCTTTCTCTTTTATCCTCCAATTGCCTATGCCAGGGGTGCCCAACCCTGCTCCTGGCGATCGACTGTCCTGCAAAGTTCAGCTCCAACCCTAATCAAACACACCTGAAGCAACTAATTAGGGTCTTCAGGATCACTTAAAAATTAAAGGCAGGTGTCTTTGATTAGAGTTGGAGCTAAACTTTGCAGGATAGTCGATCGCCAGGAGCAGGGTTGGGCACCCCTGGCCTATGCTATCAGCTCTTTGGCCCATATGGAGCTCCTGAATTGTCATGGTCCTCGGCAGCCACTAGAGGGCGCTCACTGACACATGCGCTTCTTGCTCCTCCATGTTGCCTGATTCCACACTCAACTGGACAGCAAGAGATAAAGGGAGTTCACAGTGACGCCTTCGTTTCCTGATTCCGTCAGAGCACTGTCCTGGATTTCTGAAGTCCCGGCTCCTGTCTCACTGCTATCGTGTGCCTCATTTCTTCTTGCCTGTCTTTTTCTCAGGCTTTTCACCCTTGTCTGAGCGCACAGATCCCCCGTCGGCTCGGTCTGACTTTTCACCTCTTTCCGAACCGCCTGCCCTGCTGCCATCCTTGCGCGTTCCCTCGTCAGTAGATGAGGTAGTTGGATGGGTCTGCCCCTGTTTGCCAATCTCTTCATGCTCACTTATACTTGTGTTTATACTTGTGATCCAGCGTTTTAGATCGTCCTGCAGACCAAAGAGAGATTGAAGACTCATTTTCACACAAAAAAGTTGACCTGAATCAATTTAATGAGTTATAACCAGGCCCAAACAGAATCTGCAGCAGAGACCTCCATGGAAAGCTTTGGAGATTTTTGCAAAATCAAAACAAATTCACATTTTACACATTCCCCAATCCTTGAGTTTTTCTTTATTAAATATTTAGATTCATTTGATTAATGCTTTCTGCCAATAAATGTTCCTGTCAATAAGCGTGTAGTCCCTGCTGGGACTGGACTACTAGCTGGTGGACTGGCTTGGTCAGGCTAGTTTGAGCTGGTAAACCAACTTCCCATATGCTGGTTAGGTATGTTTTGAAACATGGCAGCTGGTTTGAGCTGGTTTAAGCTGGTCCTTAGATGGTATGAGCTGGTCCTGAGCAGGAGCTGGTTGATGAACCAGCTCATAAGAGATGGTCCTCACTGCAGAACACAAGATCCAGGGGGCGAGGTTGGATCCAGATCCAACTCCTCCCACCTTACATATACCTAAACCTACCCGTCTCCACCCCGATCCCTAAACCCACCCATCTCCACCCCCTAGATTTGGATCCAACCCCGTCCCCTGGATCTTTGTTCTGCAGTGAGGGGCTACTGGCTCATAACCAGCTTATAACCAGCTCAGGACCAACTAGGACCAGCTCAAACCAGCTCAAACCAGCGGCCATGCTTCAAAACATACCTAACCAGCATATCCTGTTTTTTTCAACAGGGATAAAACAGCAATAAACCAGCTTCTACAGTATGCTAAGTCAGCTTTGCTGAAAATATCTGCAGATTTCATCTAGGCCTGGTTTTGACTAAAATGTATTACCGAATTAAAGTCGGCCTAAAATTAGTGCAGAACTGAAAAAAATGTATTTGGAAACTAGGATAAAAAAAGCAACTCACCTCATCTTTAGCATGGAACAGAAACTCACTTCCATCGTTAGTTCTAAAATTATAAAGCAAAATTAATGTTATGCAATGAGAACACTACACAAGTCATCAATCTTTTTGGAAAAGCTAGTAAAAGTGCTAATTAAGTACTTGAGTGTGAAGACATTCTTCTTCTTTTTGTAACCATTGTTGATATCACAGGCACAACGGCTCAGGTTGATAAGCGGCTCGTTGTTGTAAGGTGTGGAGGTGTTCTTCGCATCCTTATAGAATCCCAGCTCACCTTTATTCAGCACACAGTACAGGTTCACCCAAGATCTGCTGTAGTGTGGGAGAGAAAGCAAAAGATTTGCCCATCAGAGCCCAGATGACACCATGCACCGACTACCTACTCACCTACTGAGACTGGGATGACCAGCCCTTAAGACTGAGCAAGACCAAACTGCTGCAGAGATCATTAGACCTTTAAAAAGAGATGGACAGACCATGGCTTACCTTTGTAGAGAGGGAGAAGAACAGTCAGCGGCAAAGATAGCATTAGAAAGAAGAGAGATTTTGGTTAATGAGATATACTGCAATATAAACACAAATGCTAGTATGAAAATGGCTTCAGTGGACAAGCAGATTATGTGCAAATACATGCTCCAAAAGAACAGACAGCCATTCTTTTGAGTTCCTTAAACTCCTCGATGCGATGAATTGTTTTGTGACTTGGGCCACAAAGGTGCCGTATCCGGTCTTGTACGAAATTGCTGTATAAAGCTGTGAAGGGTGAAGGCTTCATACCTTGCTAGCCATGGCTTCAGAGACCCAGCATCTGTTGGTCTTCTGACACAGTCACATCCACCATCCAGGCTGATTTTAGTATTACCATGCATGTGGCAAGCAGTGCTAACAGCTAGCTATTTTCTGCCATTGCTTGATATGAAACTTGTAATCACAAATGACAGCCAAACAGCTGCTCCTCAGTTTAACTTCAGGAAACATTTTAGGCTTGTAAAGCATTCAAGCATATCCCAGTTTGACTTGAAACTTGGTGAAAGAAAATAAGAGCTGCTTTGTAATAACAAATGTTAGTGCTCTAAGCATCAGTACCTAATGCTAACAACAACATTAGCATAGCTTTGAATGACCAATCATACTGATTGGCATATTTGGTTTAGCTGTTTTCATGCTAATTCCATGCCATGTGCCTCTAATTTTTAGACCACAAAGTCCCACCTGTTCGAACTCTTCTTTTGGCCCTCAATGTCTATTTTGCGGAAGAGGAACCCTTCACGCTGGGCCATGTGGGTAGGCGGCTGGGGTACTGGTGGGCTGCTCTGGGCTGGCGCAGACCTTGAGCGCCGTGTTTCGCCAGCTGGCTCCTTGGGTCGGGGTCTTCTTCTCGGTTTGGGTCTGTCGCGAGCACGTGGCCGGTCCAGTCTAGAAGTCTTCTCAGGAAAACCATTGGGTAGACGTGGAAGCTCTCCTCGGGCCTGAGTTGGAAATATCCAGCAATGTACACGTGAGAAAATGTGGTTTAAAACAAGAGACAAACATTAGATTGTCCACACACCTGTGCTGCTTCTCTTTCCTGAAGCTGCTCCACAATCTCAGCTAGCGTTGACCTTTTGTCCCTGCCAACATAAAAGGGAAATCTGAGATCTGGAAATGCTATTTTGCATGGACAGAAAAGAAAGAAGTTGCTGGGGTACTTCAAAACTTTAAAGTCAATATGGGAAAGCATTTATAATCCTTTTACTTCCTTCACGTGACAGATTAAACAGTTCAACAAGACAAATTACAAGAAGAATTTATACATCAGGAATCGAGTGGATCATGAAAAGTGAATACGAATTGCAGTCGAGAAGTTATCCTTGAAATCTGTCCGTATTTATTTGAACCTCTACTTGCTATGAACTGACTTGGTGACCAGCATGTATGAAGTTCACCTTTAAGAGAATCTCAATTATAACACTTCTCTTTCAAATCTAGCATTAGCACTGCTGTAACTTTTGTAATGTCTTTTGTAATGTGGATCGTTTGAGGTCACAAATACAGACACTCACCCGCCACCAGAGCGTCTGTCCGACTGCTCCCTGGCCTCCTGCTCGCTGCTGTCTTGTCTCTCCAGTCGGTGTCTGTCCCTCCGCCGCACCTCATGACCTTCCTGTTCACTAGATGTCTGTCTCTCCAGCCTCCTCTCTGCCCTCCCAGCTCGTTCTCTCCACACCTCCTGAGGCAGCTCGTCCCTGCGTGCCTGAATCAGCTGCTCAGTGGATAGTTGTCTTTCCAACCGCGACTCCCTTGGAGGGGGATGCTGCTCCACCAACAGCTCTGAGCGACTGCTCCCGCTCCCTCCCACCATGCTGTTTAGGCGTTCCCTTCCTCCGCCTGGCTCCTGGAGCACCACCTCTGCCATCACGTTCTCATGATACCGCTCCCGCTCCCTGTCTCTCTCCAGTAGGGGGTGGACTGCCTCATGGATGTGTTCGATCTTCTGCTGTGGGACTTGAGCCTTGAATTCCGTTCGCAATTGGGTGACCTTATGATCCATAGAAGTGCCCAGTCCTGCAGCCACTCCAACAATCCCAGCATTCCTGGCTTCCTGAAGGCGATAAGTAGCAGCTCCATTCATGATGGGAGAGTAGTTGGCCACAGTAGAACCCAGTCTTCGGGCCACGGAAGAGGGAGAGGGCTGAGGGGTGATGCGCTCCACACGGGACTCGCCCTGCTCATATATGGTCTGTCTAATGATGGAGGAAGGGCTACTGCGAGCAGGAGAAGAGTCCTGAGGGTCCAAGAAAACCTTCCGTCCCAGCAAGGGAGTTGGGGGAAGCTTACTCTGCTCTGCCTTTATCTTCTCTACCTAAATCGTTAAACAAGAGAATCTCTTATTATTTATACACCCACACTTCCATTCTGTAACATAACTATAAAAAGACATTATGCTATACACAATTCACCTTTTAGTAACATTTTTTTGAATTTCAGTAGGTAGACTATTGACATTCAAACTATGGTAAAATTAATGAAAAGTAGAATTTTATGACAGTGACATCAGTGTGACATGGTCTCTCTTACTGTGGTAAGACGGCGTAAAGAGCTGAAGCGTTCTTCCCATGTGGCCGCAGCTTTGCGAAAGGCTTCGTGTCTGCGAATCAGCTGCTCAACCTCATCCACACTGCCACCCAGTTCATTACTACTTAGGAAGGGTTCCTGAGCAGTGAGCCAGGCCTCTGCTACCACTGCTTCCTGAGCAAACTGATGCACCTCCAACACTGCGAAGGCACAGAAAGAGAGTGAGATGTTGTGAAGTGCATGACACTGATTACATAATTTATGCATAATGTTTGTTTTCCATTAGCCTCATTTCACCCACTGTGCTGCAACTCTTCCCAGTGTTTGTCCCATTTCTCAGTGAGCTCTTGCTGCTTGGCCAAAACCTTCTCCAGCTTTTCTTTGATCTGAAACGGTCAATACTCTATCGTCAGGTACAGACAGAAGACAGGTTGGAATATCATGTAGTCACCATCATTTAGGCTGGAAACATACTTTACAAAAGTGCACCACTGCAGACACAAAAGGATGGCCATTGCATTGGAAGCAGGCAGTTACATCGTACATACTTAATGTGCTTTCTTGAATTGCTGTGGCAGTAACAAGCCACAGTATTCAAATGGGAAAAAACTCTTTCAGATGTATTATTATTTAGGTAGCTACCTAAACGCGTCAACTTTAAGTAACTTTTTAAATCAGGAAATTAACTGTAGAAGAGTTTATGTTAGTACACACTATAGTGTTACTTGTAGCAATGTTGAGAATGCAATATGTAATTGCAGTCTGACACATTTTGGATTGCAACAATGCCTGAAATTAAACATGCATAGAGTATATTTTGGGCCTTGTAGTGATTTCAGATCTGCAACAGTTTCTGAACAGGTTGTACTTTATATTTTGTGTCACCTCTTCTGATGCAGGGTTACGGGCAGCCAGTAGAGTCTTGCCCATCTCGATACACTGTAGGACGCTCTTGTTTCGGGCCTCCACCTCACTCTTGAGGCTCTGATGATAGTTCATCAGGACCTCCACAGATGACACGTCCCTGCAAGCACCAGAGAGCCCATATCCCATTAGAGCTCTGAGGAAAGAGCTGACAGTGAGAGGAGAGAGAGTTACTTGGGCAAGAATGCATGGGCCAAGTCTGCCCACAGAAAGAAACCGCAACAGAAGGCTATTTTGGCACCATGAAGAGTGTCCATAATGGCTCCTGAGCTTTTGCAGTATTATAGGGTCTTTATTAAGATTTCAAAATACACTAGACATATATACACTATATCTCTGTTTCAAAACCTAGTGAGCTGCCAACATAGGTGCGCTCCCAATGCAAAAGCTGTTCCAGCAAACGTCTTTTAAGGCAACAATCAGTGGCGGTTCTACATTGAATTACACCCTGGGCGCACCTTCTCAGCAAGCAGGGGCGCCAATTTGCCAATTCCCCACACAGTGAAATGACAGATAATAGAAAACCGCTTCGCGGCGGCGGCGCAGAGGATTTTTTCTTTTTTTTCTTTTTTAACTGCTCGTGCCGCCCCCCATGTATCATGAAAAAATGCCCGGTTCGCCCGTGCCAAAAACCGCTACTGGCAACAATGCAGAGAAGGCCATTACAGAAAACATTACAACAAACTCAGTAGTGGAAAAAGGTGGATTTTTCAAGAAAAAAATGTTGAATATAATTAATTAAATACAGAAAAGTATTGAAAAAAAAAAAGTTTTTAAAATTTTATTATTGTGCATACTATGTATTTTTTTTGTTTATTAGAGATTCCTTTTGTTAGTTTAGCAACATGCAATGTCAGACGCTATTGGAATCAATTTCTAAGTGAAGTCCTCTGTTCATTTCACATAAAAAGTGCCACTTGAAAAGCATTTGAAATTAGCATTTGAAATTAAAGCTCAAACAATTAGTCGACATGATCGACAACGTCGGCAATAAAAAATTATCAACAAATATTGTTGTTGTTGAATAGACATTTGATCTCATATGACCTCATGTAAGGGGTCTGCAATAATGCTGTAGCGCAAGACTGTAATTCAGCCCTCCCACACGCAGTCCAATAGAAGAAGAAACATGGCGCTTACGAGCAAGTGTATCTGACCCAAGCGGCAACCTTCCGGTCTCTCTCTTGAAACCAACACGGAAGTGACTTAAACTGCAATTCATCGACTGGCCGCTAGAGATTGGCTCCAAACGGGAGTCAATCCCATAGACCCCCCCATGTTAAAATGCCCAACTTTACAGCAGAAAAAAATATGTTGTACAGCCTGGTACAAAAACGCTCTTCAGAAACCTACGGGTGACGTCACGGACACTACGTCCATGTTTTTATACAGTCTATGATCTGACTGCATCCACATAGTACACACCACACCCCTACAAATTAAACCTAATACTAAATGTTACACCTCCTAAAATGAAACAGCCAATTAGGCAATCGCCACTTCCGCTCTTCTCCTCACTTTTTAAGGTTCACTATCACCACCCAGCAATGAGGCATACAGATTGTATTACATAGATCACCAGAAAGCTTAAGTCATCCCATGTTGTTTTCCAGTAAATTTAAATTTTGTGTAAGGGGTAGGGTTAGGGAAAGGTTTAGGGTTGGGGGTAGGTTTTTAGCTATAATTATCATAGGTCTGTATCAATTTGATTATATGATTTATTTTATGTTTTACTAATAGCTGTTATTTCGCACTTCGTAAATTTCGTAACTGGAAAGCAATACAAGTAGGCTTACAAACACTACATACATAAAACCTAAGATAATTTACTTGAAAAGATTGTTTTAGTCAATAACATCCACTCTTGTTTCTCTGGAGGAGGCTTAACTTGTAGTAGTAGGCGTAACTTGGAGGGGAGTGGTTTGTAGTACTGTGGGATGCAGACAGACCCTTCTCTTTATGAAAGCATGTCAGAGTGCAAACGCAGCCCAACCAGTAGAGTGTGGGAAGGTTTTGCAAAACTACAAACAAAAAATGCTGTCATATGTGAAGTCCCAGATATACTCATGTCAAAGTTTTTTTTTCGTTTTTCATTTAGTGGTAAAAAGAAGTTCAATATATGCAAGCAGCGTTTTGATGTTAGCAAACATCCTGATGGTGTCCGCGCTGCTGAGAGTGGTGTTTAGATGAATATTTTAATATATGCTGCATGCTTTCCTCTCAATAATGAGATAAACACACAACAAAAATGACAGTGGTGAGAAAACAGCAGTTAAGAAAGCATCTGATCATAGCGATGTGGATATGTCTGCGCTGGCTCTGAATTTGTCAGTAAAGTCCAGTCATGTCACGTTTATTATAGCTTTTTATACAATAGATTGCTTTAAAGCAAGCAGCTTTACAATGTTAAACATGAAAAACAGTGTCAGTGTCGCTTTCAGTTAGAATTACAACTTGATTTAAATTAAACTCAAGATTTAGCTCAGGACCATTTTTATCGCAACACTATAAGGTATTTTAAGAGAGATAATGTGAATAAAATGGTTTATCCAAAAATAACATAATTTACCTTTATTTTGTTCCATATCCAGATGACTTAAAAAAGGAGATGTTAGGCAGAATGATACATCGGTCAGCTACCTTTTCATAGTTAATTAAATGATGAATGAGAATATCTCTGTTTGTAATCTCATTTGGTGTCCCAAATATATTTATTTTTATTGTAAAAAAATAACTGTATAATAATTGTAATTGTATACTAGTAATATAATTGTTTGATATTTTCAAAAGCTGAAGTGATTACCTTGTTTTATTAGTTAGAATATGTATAGCTCAATATTTTAACTAATTGCAAAAGCTGAATAATCAAAGCCTACTGATTAATTAATGATTAGTTGATTAATGATTAGTTAGATGAATCTATTATCAAAATAATCATTTGTTTCAGCCCTATTTCAAATTCTCTTAGGTTAGGTTGTACCCTAAGAAGGTAGTTTTCTGTGTAGGTAGTAGACAGCATAGCAGCTCAATATGTTTTGCAACAGATCTATAGTGTTCCCATAGAGTGCTCTTAATGGATACTATTATGCTTAATCGTAATATGATGTATAAATACTATTGTGGTTCATGCACTTACCATCATATCACTTATTTGTGCTCACGGTATGATACCTATAGCACACTCCAGCGGCCACAGTGGCTGCTCTTCAGCTGACCTGATGCAAACCTTCATGCATTACAACGGTAAAGCACATTAATGAGCTCCTATAAGCAGAGAGAAAGTGTCCCAGCATGTGTCCTACCTTGGTTTCTCCCCGGTTCCTATCTGACAGATGATACTGTCCATCCACATCAGCTGATCACGCACCATCCCAAAGAAGCGTAACTTGTCTGTTGCTGTGGTGATTTGCATTCGGCAGTCCTCACAGGATACGAGCAGCTCTTTCCACGCCTGCATCACTTCATGTTCCTGCATGGCAATGGCTTCTGCTTTCTCCCCGGCATAAACTGTTCGGAGCTGGGCTGCACTTTCCTGCAACTGTCTTATCTGAGGAAAACAGGAAAACTTCCTGTGCCATTGTCATGCACTTTATTTCATCAAGTATTTTAGAGATGCATCTACAAACTTTACAGATTTATTTGCATAAGGATGTGTTGCATCAGTTCACCTGTGTAACAAGTAGCTGAATATCATGTTCAAAAGTCTGCATAAGTCTCTGCAGAGTGCTGGTATTTGAAGTGCCTCCTTGACATGCGCGAACCTCAGGTAACCTCCGCTGCTTATCCTCAATCTGTGCTAAAACCTGAAACACACACAGACTCATGCTATTCCACACATGCAGACACATGAGACCACTGTGGTCTAAGCTTTCATTCAGCATGAGCACTGCTCCTATTTATCATGTACACACAGTAAACACACAAACAGAGCTTAGTCTCCTCAGTACCTGTAGCGGAAGGAAGCAATACCTCAGCATTATCCTACAAATATCACCGTGATAAAACAAAATATATACACAAAAAGCTTCCCAGGGCATTAAGGAAAACTAGGACTGTTATTCAACCAATAATATCAAGTACACTGCCCATTCAATATTCGTACTCATGCAAAAGTTGAAAAAGGGTTAGGGTGTTCTGGGTGGTTGCCAGGGTGTTGCTATGTGGTTGCTAAGGTGTACTATGTGGTTGTTTATGTATTGCTATGTGTTTGCTAGGGTGTTCTGGGTGGTTGTATGCTATGCAGTTGCTAAGGTGTTCTCAGTGGTTATTAACTCTTTCCCCGCCATTGACAGAATTTTCTGTCTTTTCACTGTCATACGGTAGGAGGCGATATTACACATCTTCTGAAAGAGCACTGAATCTCTGGATCAAACACGGTGAAGAAGAAGAAGTAGAAACAAGCGATCGCATATGCAAGCAGATGCATGTGTAAAATAACACAATCATCAAACTTTAAACAGCATATAAATCAAAACTGCCTAACGTTACTGAATGAAATGTCGCCCCAGGAAGTGCTGTAGGAACATGCAAGCTTTAGGGGTGTTGATGAAAGCGATCTACTCCATGTTTTGATCATCGTTCTGTATCCAGTCTGGACATAGTCTTTGACAAAAACATGATTTCCTCAGCTTTTTGTTCAAAATGTTTTATTTTTTAATGAAACTTGCCCACATTCAGGTGTTGATAATAAATAAACTTTTTCACACCACTGTATATATATATATATATATATATAAATAGAGGCTCAGTTCTTTCTTTTTGACATATTGCATGTGCAGATGCAATTGCCCCAATATTTTTGGGGCCATAAAAATTTTTGTGAAAATATTTTAAAATGCTGGCGATGGCTGCAGTAAAAAAAAAACCAAAAAAAAAAAAAACCCGCTGGCAGGGAAAGAGTTAATGCATTGCTATATTGTTGCTTGGATGGATGCGTGTCCATAAAACAGATAAATAATAAACAATCATTTCAAGAAATTCCCATGAGCAATAGTGAAAGTGATAACTAGTCATAATAATGATGGTATTAGCAAACACCACTCAGTTTAGATGATTTAATTAGATGTCCTGCATTTCCTTCTCCACACCTCTCGGCAGTCAGAGAAGAACTTGTGTAACTGGTGTGAAGCAGCGAGCATCTGTCCCCGTGTCTCCATCAGCTCCAGCAGATCCGCCCAGGCCTCGTTCACTCCATCCTTCCATTCAGCGATGGTGGCTGCATCACCGTGCCCGTAATCTATGAGCTCATCAACCATCTGGTTGACAGCTGTGACCCTCTCCTGCCCCAGGCTCCCAGTCTCCGATGCAAACTCTGTGAATTTCTCCTGCAGAATCTGAGGTTCAGGAAAAGTGCCACCATGACGGGGCAGAAATGTTATGAAACTGAAGAACTATGAGAGCTACAGTTAATCATGTTTAGGGGCAGATACATATGAAATAGCTGAAGCAACTGACCGTGACATGCTCAAAGTCCTGTCCGAGTTCAGTGGAGCTGGCGATGACCTCCCTCTCTGCTATCCACTGCTCAAGTTCATCCACCTCCCTGTTGAGCTGATAGAGCCAGTACTGCTGCTCCAGACGAGACTTCCTCTCTTCCGCCAGGTCCTTCAGAGACACGTACAGCCTGTCGATCTGAGACTGATGCTTACTGATCTGCTCACTGAGGCACAAGCATACACACACATACTTAGATTTCATTCAAAGGAAACAAAAATCAGTGAAATCTGTTACTCTTGAAAGGTGTTATCACTGGAATCCAAAGAATGTCAACTGTGATTGCTCAGAAGTGAAACTAGATAGGCCAAAAGATTGTTGTGTGATTGTATGTTTGATTGGGTCAGTAAGTACTGCTGCACATATACCAGTCTGGATGTCCGAGCTCCAGCAGCTGTCTGCACTGCTGTGAAAGCATTCCGATGGTCTCGGCATAGTCCTCTATGGTCTGCTGTAGCGCCAGCTGTTTCTTCAGCAACTGCAGAGTACTGGCCTCATCCTTGAGCGAGAGCGGACACAGCTCAAATACATACATCCTGCTCCAATGTCATCATCTATAACATCACAGCATCCCAGAAAACTTCCTTGCCTGAAACTAAAGTCCTTAAAAACATGTTGTCTACACAGGTCTCAACAATGAAGATGTTTGGTCCAAAATGGTCCAACA